ACATGAAGGTTACACAGGAGTAGCGTAGGTCCTAATCCTATATGACTGGTGTTATGGATTGAAATATGTCCCCCAAAAATGTGTGTCAATTTAGCTAGGCCATGATTCCCAGTATTGTGTGATTATCCACCATTTTGTCATCTGGTGTGATTTTCCTATGTGTTGTAAATTCTACCTCTATGATGTTAATGAGGCAGGATTAGAGACAGTTATGTTAATGAGGCAGGACTCAATCTACAAGATTAGGTTGTATTTTAAGTCAATCTCTTTTGAGACATAAAAAGAAAGAAGAGAGCAGAGAGTTGGGAGGACCACATACCACCGAAAAAGCAGCGCTGGGAGCCCAGCGCATCCTTTGGACCTGGGGTTCCTGCATGGAGAAACTCCTAGATTGATGACAAGGACCTTCCTCCAGAGCCAACAGAGAGAGAAAGCTTTTCCCTGGAGCTGACACCCTGAATTCGGACTTCTAGTCTACTAGACTGTGAGAGAATGAACTTATGTTTACTGAAGCCATTCACTTGTGGTATCTCTGGTGGAGCAGCACTAGATGACTAAGACAACTGGTGTCCTTATAAAAGAGATGAGACAAAGAGATAGAGGAAGGACTTCATGTGACGCTGCAACTGCAAGTCAAGGAATTCCAGGGGCTCCCAGAAGCTGAGAGAAAGGCATGGAACAGATTCTCCCTCAAAGCCTCAGAAGGAATCAACCCAGCCAACACCCTGGTCCTGGACTCCCAGCCTCCAGAACTGTGGGACAATACATTTCTGTTCCTAGAATCCACCCAATCTGTGGTATTTTGTTACAGGAGCCCTAGGAGACTAAGACACTGGCCTGCTCCCATCCCACACAGGTGGCCCCCTGTGACGTCTCACATCCTCTGTGCCATTCTCTGCAAACCTGGCAACGTCCCCGCTCTCCACCACACCTGGCCACGTCCAACCTTGACCCTCATATGAAGAGGCCCTGCCATGGGGTCACACCTCAGTTTCCTTATCTGAAAAATGGGGTGGGGGAGGAGAGTACCATCCTCATGGTGTCACTGAGGATGAATTAGAACGTGTACGCCAAGCATCCCGCGTGGTGTCTGAGGCATGGACATGCACCCTGAACAGCAGCTGCCAGCAGCAGCAGTAAGCCATCTGACTCCAGGTCACAGCCACCTCTTCCCTCTTCAGATGTTTTAAATGTACTGTTTAAATCACACAATTACCATGAAATGGTTCCTGGATAGCTGGCCCGTCAGCCATTTAGGACCTTATACACCACCACGCCTGATGCATTTCCTTGGCTCCCTTCAGCTGCCAGCGCTGCCCAGCTCTGGGTCTGGGCTCAGTCATCTTTTCATTAATCAGTTGAAACACTGCCACACTCCTGAGCTTTTTTTGTGAGGGTCTTCAGGGGGAAGACTGAAGAGAAGTTACCTTCCTAATATAGCTCTCTGACAGGCTGACAGAGAATTTGATCACTGAAGAGTTGGCCTAGAGACGCTCAACGACATCATATATTTAAGTAACCAGGAAGAAAAGGGTTTTGTTAAAATAAACCTCTGAGCAGCAGCTGGGTTTTAAGTGGACAAGAGGGTGCTCTGGGTGGGGTCTGGCTTCCACCGAACCCTGGTTGTCGCTCATGAAAGAGGCCTTCCAGGAAGGACTTAGAAGCCCACAGCATGGCCCACAGTTGTTTCCATGAGCTCCAAGAATCCAGGCTCCCCCACCCAGAGCCCGCAAAGGTGCGGCCAAAGGTTAATGGGCTCCAAAGCGAGGACAGGAGGCATATAAGGGCCCCATCAGACTAGCCAGACACCAGCAGACAAGCAGAGAATCCTCCAGGCCCTTTCAAACCACGCTCACACTGTAAGTAGCCAAAGAAAAAATGGGGGGGGGGTTGTTAGCATAAGCCCAGAAGCAGAGCAAGGGTGCAAGCCTGAGTGCTGGGGTCCAGAGACCTCTGGGGTGAGCTGACCTGCTCCTGCACCCCTCTGCCACCTGCAAATACCTGGCTGGGCTCAGACTGAGAGCCCCAAGTTGATTCCAGGGGAGTAGGTCAAAGCTGGGTGGTGCAAAGGTTGGTGGTTCAAACTCAGCCAGCGGCACCACAAAAGAAAGGCCTGGCAATGTGCTTCTGTAAAGATTACAGCCAAGAAAACCCTATGGAGCAGTTCTACTCTGTTACACACGGGGTCGCCATGAGTCTGAAGCAACTGGACTGCAACAGATTTTTTAGGTTAAAGCTGGAGTCTCTGGGTGGTGCAAATGGTTAACACCTGGGAAGAAATGCCTGGCAATCTGCTTCCAAAAACTCAGCCATCGAAAACCCTATGGAACACAGTTCTATTCTGACACACATGGAGTTGCCATGAGTCAGAATCAATAGCAACTAGTGGTGGTGGTAGGTCAAAACCAAACCCGTTGCCATCCAGTCAATACGGACTCATGGCGACCCCACGTTACAGAGTAGAACTGCTCCATAGGGTCTTCTTCAATGTAATCTTTTACAGAAGCAGATCGCCAGGCCTAATCGTCTGTGGTGCCTCTGGGTGGGTTCAAACTGCCAACCTTTAGGTTAATAGCCCAGTGCAAACTGTTTGTGCTAAAGCTGCATATATTGAGCCAAGCAAGGCTGCACTGAGGCGTGGAGGCTGCAGAGACGAGGAGGTGGGTGTAGTTCCTGGCAAAGGAGACACTATTTAGGGTGAGTCTGGTGCTGTGGACTGCAGGCCAGGAACCCAAGTCAGAGCTCAGCGTGCATTCAGGGCCGCAGTAGGCATGATGGCTTTGCTCTGGAAAGTTAAGAAGTAAAAGCTGGTCCCTAGAGACATACATGGGAAAGGAGGACAGGCAGGTGGCACCTTATCCAGAGCTGAGCACTTAAAGGCTGGAGCACCATCCCCGATAATGGGAGAGGGAGGGCAGCACCTCCTCGCACAGTGAAAAGCTCCTCTCCCGCTCTGAGCTCTCCAGACACAAATGAGTGTAGGTGATACGCTGACTGCCAGTCAGATCCAGAAAATGAGCAGCAATTGGATTTTGCCTTTTCTTATTTAAAGTTTTTATTGATTCTTATGGAGTGAATTAAATGCGAACACCAGAATGAAAAGGTATCTATAGCATCTCCGTGAAGGAAATGGGACACCATAAATATGACACATCCGCCTTCCCTGGGAGGGAAAGTGGGGCCCCAGAGACTCTGCCAGGGAGGGATAGGAGCAAGAGGGGAGGCATGGGGATTCGGGGCTCACCCACCCCATCCTCTGTTCAGCTCAAGATCCTCCCAGGGGTCTGTACAGATCCTAGGCTTCCTAAGAGGTGGTGTTTGGCAGGTGGGTGGTCCTTCCAGCCCTGCTGGAGCTGTGGCTGTCTGAGCTCTTGTGCTCTTGTTCATGGAGATGGAGAGAGAAAGTAGGAAGGAAGGAGGAAGGGAGAGTGTGTGAGGGAGAGAGAACAAGAACAGCAAGAAGGTAGTGTGAGCGTCCTGCTTGGCCAAGGTGTTTTCTGATGGCCAAGGAAGCAAGCCTGGCAGAGAAGCAGGACACAAGCATGAAGCCCTGGAAGATTCCCTCCAAAGGGAGGGTCAGGGCTGGGCCTGCAGAGAAGCTTGGGTGTCAGGCCAGACCAGGACCCTTTCCCATGAAACGTATCTAGGCTGCCCAAGGGAAGCTCTTTATCTGAAGACCCTGTAATCACCCCCAGCCCCATGTAGCGGAGGCCACCCCTGGCCTCTCCTCCTTGCTGAGGGGGCCAGGCCTCTGTGCTCAGAAGTCCACCCAGTGTGGCGCAGGAACGTTGGTGCCCCTGCCACATCCTCCTCCACCTTCTTGGGAAGGGAGGTGGGCGGACGCAACGTGGTGTGGGGTATTGGGAAAAACACCTCAGAAGGCCAGGGCTCCAGCCCCCAATGCCTTGAATTAGTCCCTTCCCTCCCCCAGGTTTCTCCTCTCAGCAGATCTCACTTGCTTCCAGGTGGGTGTGAGGACATCATGGGAGAGGGCCTTGGAATGGAATGCCCGCCACCAGTGTAAGGGATTAACCAAGACTGGCATCTAGCCAGGCGGCGTCCCCCACACGGCCATCCTGACCCTGTCCCAAAGCCCACCCAGCTGACCCCTTCCTCAAGTCTCTGCCTCCAGTGCAGTCACCATGTCCACCTGGTCCCTGGCAGGACCTGAGCCCCAAAAGCCCTCCGCAGCCTGCCTTCCTGCCAGCCTTTCCAGAGACACCCCACTTCCCAGGATGCGGGAGAGCCCCACGCACACTGGCTCCCTGCCAGCACTTACAGCATTCCGAGGATCTGAGGGCTGCCAGGTTAGATGCGCCATCCCTGTTATTTCCGGATGGCAGCCAGCAGGCAGCTAGACATGCTGGAGCTGGGGAGGGGCTTGTTCCAGGGCCAGTGTACCCCCCCCAAGGGGTGGGACCCCACTGTCAGCTCTTGGATGCTGCTCCAGGATGAATTTTCCCATCTGGCTCTGCCTCTAGATGGGCAGAGGGTCTCAGCCTTTTCCTCTATAGCTCCGGGGTCTTGGCCTGATGCTCCCAGGTAGAGCTGGGGTCACCTGGGCCTTGCCCACTCCCTTTCAACATCCTAATTGGCCCTGGGTCTTGGGGCAAGATTCTGCTGATAATCTAGGGGTTCTTTCTCTAAGAGATGAGGTCCCTGCAGCCTCATGAGTCCAACTGATCCCAGAAAACCTCACCTGTAACAAAGATAAGAACTGACAAGTGGAACCATCCTCCTCTGGTGTGTGGCAGGGGGCTGGGTGGCCTGCCCCAGGCTAGCAGCCCGCTGTCACGGCTCCAGGCAAAGGGTGCTTGGAGCTCACCTGAGAAAGCCCAACACCAGGCCCAAGTCAGAGAGGCTCAGTGGCTTACTCAAGGTCACACAGCTTCAGGTGGGGCACGGACTAGAACCGAGGTCTCCTGCCTCTGAGTGCATCACTGTCCATCTCTGCACCCTAAACTTGATGACAGGGCCCCTTGTCATTGTCCAGCTCCAGGATGGTGTCCCAAAAGACTGTGGCTGCCCTGCTGGTGGTGCATGTGGCTACCATGCTGACCTCCCAGACAGAAGCCTTTGTTCCCATCTTCACCTACAGTGAATTCCAGGGATGTAGGTAAGAAACCACCCGGGCTGCCCACCTTCCCAGACACAGCTGATGTGACTCACAGCCCAGCTCAGCACTGACGTGGTACTGGTCTCACTCAAGCAAAAGGGTTATTTCAGTAAACCCACGTTTCATTAACTGTGCCAGCGACACGAAGGACAGCATGAAGAACCAGGGCCCAGGATAACCCCAAACTCCAGCCTTCTCCCTGGCCACCTCCACTTCTTCCCTAGCACCACTCAAAGATGTCAGTGGCTCCCATGAGTATCAGCTTTTCCCCACCCCTGCCCATCCTTTGGAGGAAATTTTCAATTAACAAGCACATAAATATTTATTTACTGAGCATTTCTGCTGTGGAAGGCACCACCCTGGGCAAGCAGTCTGGGGAGCCAAGACACAAACATATGAAAAATTAACCAATAATAGAAGACAAAAGAGAGATGTCACAAGGCAGGACATGATTAATTGCCCAATAAGTGATGCTGATCAGAAGTGCTGGGTTCAGAGGAGGGAGCTGTGAGCTAGAGCTTACTTAGAAACCTTCAGGGAAAAGGTAAAACTGGAGCTGGGGGCCTCCAGGGATAAGGTGGGACGAAGTGATGGGCGTGAACCCTGGGAGGTGGGAAAGAAGGTGGTTTTCCATGCAGTGGTGGCATAGCCACCCTCTCTTTTGAGCGTAAAAGGTAATAAGATTGGCCTAAGGTCCCTGAAGGTCCCTAAGCCACACTAAGGGTTTGAACTGGACTGCTAAACGAAAGGTTGTCAGTTCGAACCCACCCAGTGGTACCTTGGAAGAAAAGTCCTGGCAATCTGCTTCTGTTAAGATTACAGGCAAGAAAACCCTATGGAGCAGTTCTGCTCTGTCATACATGGGGTCACCATGAGTTGGAACTGACTTGACAGCAACTAACAACAGCAATAAAGGTCCCTGGGTAGCGCAAATGGTTTGCAAAGGCTTGGCAGTTGGGACTCACCCAGCTGTTCCACGGAAGAAAGTCCTGGCAATTTGCTTCCATAAACATTATAGTCAAGAAAACCCTGTGCAGCAGTTCTACTCTGTAACATATGGGGTCGCCATGAGTCAGAACAACTCGATGGCAACAGGTTTAATGGAACTCAGGCAGTGGGGCCTAAGTAAAACTGGACTGCTGGATCTGCCTTCTGGGTGCCTTTAACTTTGGACTTCAAGGGATTCTGAGTATCTGTGCAGACATTCAGTTCTCTCTAACCCAAGGTGATGAGGAAATAGGACTTTCATGTCCACCCTGTCTGAGACCAAGTTTCCAATAGGGACAAATACATGAAATTGGTTCTGTTGGGAGGCTCTTGTGGCCCCTGGGTAGAGCTTCTCCATATCTGCCCACTCTGTGTACAGGGACAGTTTCCAGATACCCAGGGAACAGGGCCTTTTGCAGAGGCCAGGCTGAACCCAGCTCCCCTTCTTTGGGGGCAGAAATGGAAACTGATAGAGGTGACACAGCAGCAGGCCCTCTAGACGCACCTCCATCTTACTTTCTTCCAAGGAGTTGACCAGTTGTTCTAGAATCACCATATATGGGGGCCTGCTGAGAGCAGAATCTCAAGAGTGTCATTAAAGAAACCGAAGGCATTAGGTGTATCTGATCGCAGGACACCCAGCAAGCAGGATGCCAGGCAAGATTTGGGGCTGGACCGCAACAGTCAAACTCAGTAGAACATAAACTAACAAAATAGCAACGAAAGACACTTTGCATTAACCTGCTCCATGCTTTTTCTCCTCGTAATTGCCAGGCACCGGGATTTTTATGAAGAAGCTGCAAACTCACTCCTCCGTAATTCATCTCCCTGTCTTGCCTCTTATAAATCACCTCCCAGGGACTCCAAGTTCCCGGGCCACCCCATGGCTCCCTCACAGCTATACTGTCCTGCCACCTTTTTTATAGGCTCTCTGCTAAGAAAAACACATTTTCATACTGTATATGCATGAAGGGCGGCTGTTATTTTCAGCATTTTAACTTAATTAACAGTAACAATCTGGGTGTAATGTTTAAATTAACTGAGGAATAGATTCCTCTTCAAGTTGACTTGGTGGGCAATTCCAAGGGCCGTTCCTAGGCCACCGGGGTCTAAGCCTCCCCAGGAAGGAGGCACCTAGGGAAGAGGGGTTTGGTCTGTGGGATGCTCAGACAGTATCCCTGGTGGAGATGGACCAGGGCTAACTGGATGGGTTAAGGGAAAGCAGGTTTTGTGCAGTTTTATTGGTTTGTGCTCGACTACTAGTAAAAGATGGGTGGTTTGAACCCATCTAGCGGTACCACGGAAGAAAGGTCTGGCAATCTGCTTCTGTAAAGATGACAGCCAAGGAAACACGATGGAGCTCAGTTCTGCTCTGTAACACATGGGGTTGCTATGAGTTGGAGTGAACTTGATGGCAACAAGTTTGCTTGTTTCTTTTTGTTGTGGTGATTTTTGTTTGTTTTTTGTTGTTGTTTTTGGTTTTATGCTGTACCCCTAGGAAAGGGAGCAGAACAAAGGGCAAAAGAAATTCCTGAGCGTGCAGCAGAGGTCTGAGAAGACAAAGTCTCTGGACCCCATGGAGCCCACAGAGGAAGAAGAAAGCAAAGGTATCAAGGTGAGCGGCCATCCTGGGGACAGTGCAGAGAAACTGGGCAGGTGGGAGGTTGGTTCCCCCTTCCAGACAAGGAGGCAGGAACTGCTAACCACAGCCACAGAATGTTCTAGGATACAGCAGCAAACAAGACATTCAGGCAACGAGCTCCATCCTAAAAGGGAGAGATGAGCAGCAATGAGGAGACAAGTGGATCATTGCAGGCCCTGAGTAGGACAGTTAATAGAGAGTGACTGGGTGGGGGGGGGGGGCGCCGCTTTGGCTGGGGAGGGGTCAGGGAAGGACTCTCAGAGGAGGTGACATTTGATTTGAAACCTGACAGTGAGAAATAGCCATCCACGCAAGCCCTGGAGGAAAGGAGAGTGAGCACAAAGGCCCTGCTCAGATGCACCTGGGGGACTGAGGCCCTGCTGGCCGGGGCGCGCTGAGAAAGGGGGAGAGGAGGTCAGCAAGCCCAGTTCAGGCAGGGCCTGGGGGCCAGGCAAGACATCTGGAAAGGGATCTGATCTGACTCAGAACGATTCTGAGCAGCACAAAGTGGGGGCATACCAGTCAGGAGGCAGCTGCAGCCCTCCGGGAGAAAGAGGTGCCAGTTCTTCTCTCCTAAGATGGGAACCCCAGGGAGACACCTACGGGTGTCAAGACTCAGGGGCTGGGTCATCCAGCGAGAGTTAGGAGGCATAGATTGTCAGGGCTGGAGGGAGGTTGAGGTTGTCCAATGCAGCCCTTTAATTTCACAGACTCATTTATCCACACGATGAATATTTATTGAGCCCCTACTATGTGCAAAGGAGTCCCTGAGTAGTGCAAACGGTTAACGTGCTCAGCTGTTAATTCAAAGGTTGGAGGTTTGAGTCTACCCAGAGGCACCTCAGAAGAAAGGCCTAGAGATCCACTTCCGAAAAATCAGCCATTGAAAACCCTGTGGAGCATAGTTCTACTCTGATACACACAGGGCTGCCATGAGTCAGAACTGACTGGACAGCGACTGGTTACTGTGTGCAAGGCACTGGGGATAGAGCGGTGAACAAAAAAGACAAAATCCTCTGCTCACGCTCTGGTGGGGGAGACAGATCACAAATAAGGTCAATAAGCAAACTCTATGTATAGGATAGATGCTATGGAGGAACACAAAGCAGGGAAAGGAGATGGGGTTGATGGGAATTTTAAACAGGGTGATCAGAGAGGCATTATAAGAAAACAGTATTCACACAAAGACCTGAAGAGAGAGAGGGAGTGAACCACAAGGATGTCTGGGGAAGGCTGTCCCGGGCAGAAGGAACTGCCAGTGCAAAGGCCCTGAGGCAGAAGGGCCCGGTGTATTTAGTGAACAGTGAAGGGGCCGGAGTGCCTGGAACAGAGGAGATGAGAAGGAGACAGTTAGCCGGGGGAAGGGGTTGAAGCCAGACTGTGGACTTCATAGGTCATTGTCAAAACTTTACTTTCACTCTGCTAAGGTGGGAGCCTTCGGGGGGCTTTTGAAAAGGAGGGACATGATCTGATTTACATTTTAAAGGGGGCTCCCCAGCTGCTGTTCTGAGAACAGATAGAAGGGGCAAAGGCAGAATTAAGGAGACCACTGAGGAGGCTGCTGCATTATCCAAGACAGAGACACAGTGGTTCAGCCGAGGTTGTCAGGGTGGAGACAGGCGAAGTCGTCAGATTCTGGAACTCTTTTGGAGATAGAAGCCCACAGGATTTGCAGAAAGATTGGATGTAGAGAGAAAGAGAAAAATAAAAAAATGACTTCAAGGTTTTTGGCTGAACACCTGCAGGGGCAGATTTTCCCTTCACTGAGACAGTGAAGCCTGCGATGGGAACAGGTCAGTGGGAAGAGGATCAGGGGGTCAGATTGGACCTGGGAACTATGAGATGCCTGTTGGACACCCACATGGAGACATTGCACAGGCAGGCAGATACACAAGTCTGGAGTTGAGAAGAGAGGTTTGGGCCAGGGACGTAAGTGTGGGAATCATCAGCGATTAGATGGAAGTTAAAGCCAGGACTGGGTGAGATCCCCAAGGGAGTGTGTGGGCGGGACAAGAGGAGAGGGCCCAGGACTGAGAGTGGGCACTTCCACATCAAGGACAGGGGAGATGAGGAGACTGACATCAGAGAGGGTCAGGGTTTTGCCTAAGGTCACTCAGTAGTCAGAGCAGAACCAAGCCTAGATTCTATGCTTCCCACCTCCCACTGGACACCTGGGCCAGGGACCTTCCCCCACCCTCTTCAGCTGGCTGCTGCCTGCTCTCTATAAACATAGCAAAGTCAGAGGTCAGGTCTGCAGCCCAGAGGGTGACCCCAGCAGTGTGGGCTTCTTTTCCTCCCTTGCATCCACGAAGACCTCCCAGGCTCATGAGGAGAGAGCTGGGAGTGAGTCATGCAGTTGGCAAGAGTGGCGCTTACTCAGAACTACCCTCTAGATGTACGTGAGACAGTCTACGGCACTAATGCCAAGGCCTCAAGGGCACTTGACCTAGCATCCTTCTCCAGGAAGCTTGGACCTCCCTAGAACCGTGAACCTAGAGCAGGGCCAGGAGGTCCTTTATGGGCCATCCAGTGAGGCGCCCTCATTTTAAAGTGAGGAAACTGAGGCATTGCCACAGAAAGGGAATGGCATAGCCAGGACTTGAACCAGCCACAACATCTAACTGAGAACTCCAGGAACACCTCTGCCACTGCCCTTCAGGCATCCAGAGCCCCCACGGGTCTAGAGTGCCGGCCCGAGCCCATTTCCCATGTGCAGAGAGCTGGTGGGAGGTGAGGGAGTGGGCAATGGACTCCTCTCACAGTCAGCCAGCTGTTTTATACAGCAAGACAGTTGGACTGGGAGGCTCTGGGGGTGACTGACACCAATCAGCCCCACCTGGCTCTGCCTCGAGGCCGCAGCAACCTCCCTTGGTATGGAGCCTCTAGACAGCTCCTCTAGCGTCTTAAGAATGCCCTCTCACAGAAGGGGACAAGGAAGCTGGTGATAGGGAACCCAAGGTTGAGTAAGGATATTGTTGATGTGTTCTGAGATTGTTAACTATTGTCATAGAGCAAAATTTGTAATAACTGTTAAATGAGAAACTATTTTGTTCTGTAAGCCTTCATCTTAAGTGAGAATAACAGCACAATTCGAAGAGCATAGTCAGTGTCACTGAACTGTGCATGTAGAAATTTTTGAAATGGTGTATCTTTGGCTATGTGTATTTTCACCAAAAAAAAAAGAGGTTGAGAAGTTAGAGGGTTGATATGTTGTGGGGTTGTTAACCAATGTTATAAAGCAACCTGTGTACTTCTGTTTCATGAGAAACTATTTGTTCTGTAAGCCTTCACCTGAAGTACAATAAAAAAAAAAATTAAAAAAAAGAATGCCCTCTCAGTGCAAGAGACAGTGTAGCCTGATGGTTGTGGGCACAGACCCTGGGGTCAAGCCCCCTGAGTTTAGCATCTACTCCCTCTGCTACTTACTACTGGTGTGATCTTGAGCAAGTTACTTGATCACTTTGTGCCTCAGTTTCCTCATCTGCAAAATGGGGACACTAATTGTCCCTACCACATTGGGTCATTGAGAGGCTTAATATATGTAAAAGAACCTAGAAGGATGCCTGGCACATGGTAAGGCTCCACAAAGTTAACTAATGTTGAGGGGAGCCCACCCCTCCAGACACAGCTTCCTCCGCAGGAGAGGTTTGTTTATCCTCCCAGCAGGCCTCAGAGGCTCCCCCTGGATGGCCAAGGTCTGGCCTCCTGGTTAGAGCTGGGGGGAGGTGCCAGGATTCCTGGAGGAGAGCGAAGAGTGGGGCAGGCAGGGTAGTGTGGCTCCGGTGGGCCCCTCCTGCCACCTGTAGGGCACCCAGGGGTTAAGAGCCCTCTCTGCACCTCTCCCTTCTTGTTAACTCTGCCCTATTTCACAGCTGACTGCTCCTGTGGAAATTGGAATGAGTACGGACTCCAGGCAGCTGGAAAAGTACCGGGCCGCCCTGGAAGGGCTGCTGAGCAAGATGCTGCTGTCCACCCTGAATGGTATGGGGGTGGGGTATCCTCCTCCCACCCTGGTTTTAATATTCCAGGAGCACCATCTGAGCAGGGTTTGGGAACCGCGATTTGTTTTTCTGCTTTACACTTGAGAACATTAAGCTGTCTTCTCCAGTGGGGACCCCCACCCCGCCCCCCAGAGGAGCCTAATCACAGAGCGCACCTGGCTCTGATGGCTGCTGGTGGCTGCAGAGGCCCCATTCTCTAGCAACGGGCATCTCATAAGCCCCTGCCTCAACGGCTCAGGCCTGACCCCCAAATGCCCCTCTGGCAGAGGGCCACGACAAATCAACAACTACCCTCCAACCTCTCCCTCCCTGCTCCAGATATCTCCATCCCTCCCTAAGCACCACAATGGCTGGCTGGTTGCCCTGTGTGATCCAAAAGCCTCTGTTTTTTCCATCCCATCCTGCAAACCAAAGTCCTGAGCCCCAGATGGCCTTGCCCCATTCAAGGTCTGCCGGAGTTACTGTGCAAAACTAGATCTGGTCTGACAAACAGCCACTAATTACTTCTCAGGGTCCCAGGAGGAGAGCAGGGAGACATAGTGGGAGTGTTGTTGGAGATGGAGGAACTGGGAGGTTAAATAACTTGCCCCAGGCTATAGAGAAAGCCAGAGGTAGAGCTTCCAGAAGGCTTGCAAAAAATCCTGCCTCTCCCACCCTACAGCCTGCCCTGGATGCCCCCTCCTCCCTCGGATCTGCAGGCAGGTTTTAGAAGGAGGTTTCCTAAGCAGACAGCTGACACTGCTGATCTACAGACCTTCGCTTTTCTTCCCCAGCAGCTGAGTGACAAACCCTGCTCCAGGAAGAAGGTGGACTGAACTGGGATCACCTGCCCCAGTGAGGCCCCAGAAATCTGCACAGCCCATCAGCTGAGGTGGGAAGCAAAATACCCTCTCCAAAGCCAATCCCCCTGCCGCAAACAAAGCACGAAACATACAGAAATGATTCTGTTATTTAATGTGTTAATTTCCAAAGGGCAAGCTCGGGTCATGAGAAAAAGGGAAAAAAATAAAGTGCAGAGGAAAATGGTCATCAATGGAGCATACATTAGCAAAACGCGTGCCTTTCGTAAATTCTAAGTTCAAATACTACGTTGTTGTTGTTGTTGTTGGTTGTTGGGTGCCGTCAGGTCGATTCCAACTCATATCAACCCCAAGAGACAGAACAGAACTGCCCTATAGAGTTTTCTTGGCTGTAATCTTTACAGAAGCAGATTATCAGATCTTTGTTCCGACAAGCGCTTGGTGGGTTCCAACTGCCAGTCTTTAGGTTAGCAGCCAAGCATTTAACCGTTGTGCCACCAGGGCTCCTATGAATATTATCTTAGATCCATCGAATTGAAAGATTTGCTCCAGCCATTCCACTGTAGATGAGAAAACAGAGGCCCAGAGCGATGGATTTTTTTGCCCACACCCTGAGTCAGAGGCAAGGCAAGGAATGAAGTTGAGGTCTCCTGCGTCCCAGTCCATTTTCTGTCTACTGATAAGCTCTAGGTCCAATGCGCCAGAGGATTTTAAGGCCTCTGCGCTCAGCCCTTACGGAGTAACATCCAGCCAGCCCTTTAACCTCAATGAGCCTTTGCAAAAGCAAGGTGGTAATATCCGCCTGGAGAGCTGGGGATGGTGGCACCAGCAAAGAGCAAATTACTGTTATTATTATCACCTTGTGACTACAAGCTCCAGCAAAATTACCCAGCCAACCCGCTTATTTCTGCCTTCTAAACAAAACTGGATGGGAGATTTCATTCTAATTTAATTTAACATTAATGAATGTTCATTTATTTATAAACTGGGGCCATATAGGAACCACAGCTTTCTCCATCTATAGGTTACTAACAGTTAGACACCATGGCCATTTTGTCTTTCCACCCACCCCAACCACTGTGAGGGCTTAGTCACAGGAAGGAGTTACCAGAACAAGAAGATCCCAACCCTTAATAAGCATCCTCTTTTTGGGGGGCTCTGGCTGCTCCTGAGGAACGCCCAGCCCTGACCCACTGCACAGTCACATGCGTTTCCCATGCACATATCAATCAGCCCAAGCACAGCTGCAGGTTCTTGGGAAACACTGCTAAGACACCGGTAGCATCATAAATGGAGAGGGCTGCAGAAGGGCATGTGGGGAACGAAAAAGGCAAAGACACAGGAATCTATAATGCATGCAGTTGGGAGGCCCTGGATCCAAGAGTCCTCCTCACCCTTCTGAATTCTACCGTGCCAGACCGTTCCACTCTCTGTAACACTCCAAGGAACAGAAAAACAGCCTCTTTCTATGTGGTAAACACAGATTTTGTGTCCTCCACTTGCCCTTGGCCCGATGTTCCCCCATAGTGTGACTACCTTCCCCTGTCAGCAGCAGGTGGTACCCATTTCTGAGGCTGGAGCCCTGGTATTCTCTGGGGAATTCTCCTAAGATCCTGGGAGTCGAGTTGGCCCCTGACTCCTGGAGACCCCATGCACAAAACGAAATGCTATCTGGTCCTGCACCATCCCCATGATCATTTGCAGATCAGACTGTTGTGATCCGTATGGTTTTCACTGGTTGACTTTTGGAAGTAGACTGCCAGGCTTTTCTTCCTAGTCTGTTTTAGTCTACAAGCTCCACTGAAATCTATTCAGCATCAAAACAACATGCAAGCCTCCACTAATAGATAGGTGGTAGGTATGTATGAGGTGTATCAGTCAGGAATTGAACCCAAGTCTCCTGCATGGAAGGCAAGGATTCTACCACTGAACCACCACTGCCCTCTTACCAGTTGCTGTTGAGTCTACTCAACTCATGGCAACCCCACGTGTGTCAGAATAGAATTGTGTGCCGTAGAGTTTTCAATAGCTAATTTTTTGGAAGTAGATCGCCAAATCTTTCTTCTGAAGCACCTCAGGGTAGACTTGAACCTCCAATCTTTCAGTTAGCAGAAAAGAGCATTAACCGTTTGCACAAGCCAGGGACTCCAGGAGTTAAATAGCAGAGTTGAAAGAGGTGGCATGGAGGGAACTAGGACCCTTAGGAGGTTTCATCCCAGGTGGCATGTATTTCTTAAAATGGGAATTGGTTCAGTGACTACAGTTCCTGGGAAGGGTGAGGTTGCTGTTCGTTCTGCAGAGAAGACCTATTCAAAGCCCACGCTGCAGCCCAGCTGCCCCCGCCCTCACCCTGTGGCCTCTGATGTACTTCTCGGTAATGAGTCGCAACAGGGCCCCAGCTACCACCTACATCTGTATGCACAGTGTCCCGGCTGGCTGTTTAGATGTGTTGACTCCTTTCTTCTGTCGTTTTCCTCCTCCTGCCACTGTTCGATTTTTCACAGTCGACTCAAATAATTCTTTTTCACCAACGAGCTTCTCTAGTTTCTGGGATTGTGACCTCCATTGCTTACAGGACATGCACAGCCCTGGAAGAAATTAAAATCAGGGTGTTGGGAGGACTTTGTGAGCTGAGCCAACAGAAAAAGTCCATGTTTTCACAAAACAGAGGAAAAGAGAGACACGATCCTGGTTGAAGCTATAGAATGACCTGATCAAAAACCAGCCGGAATCAGAGACAGGGAGGATGCCGGAGTTACCAGTAGGGCGAGGACACCATTCCTCCTCACATCTTGCTGAGGTTTATTTAGTAAAATCTGCAAGAATCTCTCCAGATACCTGGCAATTAGGGAGAGTTACAGATTATGCTGTCTTTATTTGGAATGTACTTTGCACTTAACAGGACCACAGGTTATCATAGAGCAACCTGAACTTAGATTCAGAAGATAGAGATGATGAGGTAGTTTCTTGGTAACCACATCCGTGTGATTTTATAATTACTGAGCTATGTGGATTTGCCATGAAATTGAACAGTTAAAAGCAAAGAGTAATTGCCTGATAGCCACACTCTATAATTTAGTATAATCTAATCATGGACAAAGCCCAAAAGAAAATGTTCTGAAAGCATTCCATTTTTCTTCATATACAATTTGTTATTGACATCATGTAACGTATTCTGTGTCTCTAAAGGAACTCTTACCCACAGATATCAAAGTGTAAGAATGGCCAGAAGACTGAGAGCTTCGTTTAATTCTCAGCAGACTATGAAAAACAGGTGACATAGCTGCCTGTTAAACCCGTTCTGGCATTTCTCTGTGACTCTTTATTTACCCTTCATTGATACACCCCAAAACCTAGATGAAAAGGATGACCCTCCTCTTCCATAGCAGAATGAGATGTGGCAACAAGAAGTTGGGTGGTCCTTGAGTGGGAGTGGGGGATCATTCCAGTCTAAATCTGAGCCCAAAATGACACCCACTTTACCCCCCACCATTTCAACCACACTCTTCTAGTGCCCACCCACCCCTTGTCGTGTGATGCCACCGGTGATGTGATTCGAAGGAAGCCCAGAATAGCTGAGTGGGATGCATGAGGCCCATGATGGGGTGGATCAAGGACAAGTCCATGGTCCCTGAGCATCTTTGAGGCCCTGATAAATGTGTGCAGGACTTTTTGCAGGAGGAGAAGGAAGATGGAGCCCACTAAAAGATTTATGGCCATTGTTATTATAAGCCTCTGCTGAGACAGAGAGAGGTCAGCAGGACGGAAGGCCGCATGCCATCCCTGTGGGAATTCAGAGCATCCTCCCGGCATCCCCTCGCCTCTGCTAACTGTGTGGATGTGGTTACTAAGTAGATTTATACACTGGAGCTTGTTTTTCCTCTTTTGTCTTTAATAAATCAGGAAGATCAGCTGCAGTCCGAGCTGCTCACTAAAAAAACCCACAATAGAGTGATGAGGAGGAGGGCGTGCAGGGCAGCCGTTGACTTTGCAAGATTGCGCTTTTCTTTAAAATATGCACTTCCATCCTCAACAGGCCCAGCATAAGAATCACGTAGAAGACACAGAAAGGCACATTCTAAGACACCCCAGAAGGGCCTCGTGGGCAACTCCTGACAAGGGGAAGCAGTGGCAAAGATGTGCTGAAGTCGAGCCCTTCAGAAGGGAAGCTAAAAGGGTTAGTGGAGGAAGCGTGGGTCGATGCTCGTGTGGAGGAAAGTAAAAAGCAACAAGCCGACTTCATTAAAATGGTAAAAGGGCCGTAGGGGTGGAGATTGTTGATGGAGGACCAAACAGGGATTATAAATCCAGGGAAGGGGCCAGACTGGAGCTAAGAGTTCATGAGAAAATCGAAAGGCCTGAGACCTGGGAGGAAAAATTGATTAGTGAGTTTTCTTTTATGAAGGGTCAATAGCCAATGTAGTGGGATGGGACCAAAACCAAACCAAACCCATTGCCGTCGAGTCAATTCCGACTCATAGCGACCCTATAGGACAGAGTCGAACTGCCCCATAGGGTTTCCAAGCAGCATCTGGTGGATTTGAACTAACAACCTTTTGGTTAGCAGCCGAGTTCTTAACCACTGACACGGAAACATTAATCAGCAAATTCACCGAAGTAGTTGATGTTGCCTGTGTGCCTATTAGCATGCTACTCCGAAAGCCTGTTGGGCACAGCAAGGCAGGGCCATCGACTGTCAAAAGCCACAGTGGAGGCTAGAAGGTGAGTCTGGGTAACTTGGGTAGCAAAAGGCTGCAAACATGATGGGTTCTAGGTTAGAAGGGAAGGAGCCCTTGTGGCACAATTGTTAAGTGCTCGGATGCTAACCAAAAAGTTGGCAGTACAAACGCACCCAGCAGCTCTATGGGAGAAAGATCTGGCAATCTGCTCCTGTAAAGATTATAGCCTAGAAAACCATATGGGGCCGTTCTACTCTGTCACATGGGGTCACTATGAGTTAGAATCGACTCAACAGCAACTAACAACAGGTTAAAAGGAACGTAGCAGGGTTCAGA